TAAATTCGAATCTTCAAACTTTCTAACTTGTCCATACCTAATGAGCATCCTGTGGCCTTTATTTTACACTACGGAGCAGAATCAGAGCAAGTGAAAGTTGTGCATCAAGAAAGTTTCCCTCAGATTACTATCCCCTGAAGCATACCTTCAGTCTCGAGGAAAAACTACACTACCCCTTCTCATCACTACTGTAGTGGTTCCAAAAATAAATCCCAAGACTAATTCTAAACATCAGAGGCACCCAAACTTTGGTCAAGGTACAACCAGTGTAATGGTCACAATTTACCAGCATGGAAATGCTGTTTGGTGATGCAAAAGCTGCACACACAACAGGGAGAGCACAAAACTGTCACCAGCACAGCAACAGTCACCAGCGCTACGTGAGCAAGTTAAATTTAAGAATCTCCATTCTCAAACGTAGCATTTCCAAAATATGTGTTTCCTTCAGTCACTCTCTTAGGCACTGGGTCTTAAATATTGTAGGTTTCATAGCATTTAATTCTTTTTTTCTTCTGAGGTACATATAACAGCAGCTACTACGCATAAGAAAGGGGAAAAAATATAATAAAAAGTAACCTATAAAAATCTGACTACAAAAATCCACTAGTTCTTGAAAACTGAAAGCTTGATCTTCATTTTCACTCTGTTTGGCACAGGTTCCTGCTACTTTAAAGGCAGTAATTTTAATTACAAGAACACACCTGACCTTCTACCAAGAGAAACCAAATTCCAAACTAGTGTTCAAACAGTAAAAAGCCCATTGAGGCAATGAGAAAGTGGATTTTATAGCTGGCAAGTGAAAGACATAGGAAGGAAGTAGTTAACCACCTCTGCAAATCTGGAGGACGTAGATGATCCTTCTCAACTGGCTACGTGCACAGGAACTTAACACTGTCTAGGGCTCTTGCCCAAGAATGACAGGATGCTGGGAAGGGAAAAAGTACCTTCCTGAAATCTGGGCAGTGACTAGAGTGGAAGGAAGACTTCATAGTCTTCTGCATGTGGAGAGTAAAACAGATTTTTTTACCAATTAATGTGAAGAACCCTTGTGGAAGAAAAATTTTTTTACTTACTGGAGCAGTACCAAGTAATTAGATTTTTGTTTCACTAGTTTTTGAGCCAAATCTCTGTCTGCTTTCCCTGGTCCTTGCAATTATTTCAAAATATCTCTGTTACCTCTGACTGGAAATTCTGACACTTTACCTCTGGAAGGGCTATTTTTAGGATGGCTGATTGAAACAGTTATTCAATTTCCTGCCTTTCCTCCTCCAAAATACATAAATTAATGGTCTCAGAGAAAATGCTCCAAAGATAAGTAAGAGGAAATGCTGTGTTAAGGGTGAAGAAGACTGCTGGCATGAACAGCTACATTTCCAATGTTGCACACAAGATAAGAAAGCCCATCTCAGCATGAGAACCAATTTAAATGTATGATATAAACTCTGCAGATGTATTAATAGGTGAGTTTCTGCCAAAAAAACCTAGCCTGGCTACCCATGATTCCAAATTCATGACTTGTATTGCTATGGTAAGCAGGATTTTATAAATAACTGATTTAAAAGTACCAGAAACAGGGCTCCCAGCTGCTGAGTTCTGCAAAAGGCTACCTTGAGAATAGCTTTAGTCTATAGTAATGCATGGTATGATCAAATCTGAATAGCACACAGCCTAATGAAATTATACACTAAAGCAGGGAAATTAGAAATAGAGCTATTTATTGTAAAAGATTCCTCACATTTTGGTGCCTCATTTAAAAAAAAAAAAAGGGACTTAGCCTGTGTCATATACTCCTAACCTCCTAACCTCTTGACATCAAGAGTACAGCCACATACTTCTTAGTATTCTAGGGCATCCTACCTCCTAGAATTCTTTAATACTTTAACTGTAGAGAGTGTCATAACTAGCTACACTTCTTCAATGTGAACGATGTATTTTCTATTTGAGAACAGTAAGTAAAACACATTTACTGGATCCCTGAAATACCGGTAAAGTAGTATTCCACCTCTTTTGTAAAGCAGCAAGCCCAACTGAAAGTTTATTTCTCCTCTCAGTTTGTACAATCCACCTCTGAACAACCCAAAGGCATAAGTCCCATTAGCTCTGGAAGATAATAACATTCTAAAAATGAACAGAATTTCATTCCTACAAAGACAGTGAAAACTCAATAAATTGTAGATCGAAACTTTTAGGCCAAAAAAAGTGAAGGGTTTGGGGTTTTCTTTTGTTTAGTTAAAACATCCCACTAGTACACTGGATTTGGTACAATGTAATGGCCTTTTCCAAAGTTTTTCAGCTCTGTGTCCAATAGAGCTCATGAGAGCCCATGTGCCTTGAATCCTCTCATGACTTTCCCAGTAGTGGAAGGAGTCATCCTGACTACAGTGGAAAGTCTATAAACTGGGAAAAATTTATAATGTGGCTTCTTACTAATTTATAATAAGGCTTCTTACTAATGAGGAGCCTGGAGCTGGATTAATTTTAAAGTTCATATTTTCCCAAATGGCTTAAGTTATCCAGTTACATCTCTACACGAGGGCAGACACACAGAGTTACACATGCAAGTTGTGCCCATGTGCTTTGGAAATCCTTTAAACCCTCTTTACTGACATACAATTGCCATTAATTTCTGAATGGTTAGTTCATGTAAACTGTTATCTAAGGCTCAAAACAAATCTGGGAAACCTTTTTACTGATGACTTAAAAAAAAAAATGAAAAAAAAGAAACACAGGAATATAAAACAAGCAAATAGCCCAGCAAAGCAAGTTTATTGTTTAGCATAGCTCTATGAAAATCCATTATGGTACAAAAAACACAACATGAACTTTCACGCTTATTCTAACAATAGCTATTTTTTTTCCAGGAAGAACAGAAGAAAAACCTCTAACTCACAAAATACATCTGGATGCTTAAGGGTAGAGGATACAACAAGGGATCTCAAATCTCTCCTTCTTAAATAAGAGAACTGCTGTTATAATAAAGAAGGTCTGAACAGTTAGTGTAAGAATTCAGCATTTGCCTCTGAACACTGGAGCCTTAACTAGTTACTGACTGCAACTTGGATTTTGTCCTTTGTAGCCACTAAGTAACATTTGATCTCCTTCCATACCTAAAGAAGGGAAAGGAGCGAGCAGAGTACTCCATACCACACCATTTCTACACAATGTTTTAAATAAAAAACTTCATAAAAATAATGCGGTGTCTTATTAAATAATTTCTCTGTACACAGTTTCTAACTCATAGGACACCAATTCCTTACATCCTTCCCAATTCATATATGTATTATATAAATGATGTAACTTCACTCAAATGGCCAGTCCCACTAGAAGTATAATTGTTTGAAGGACTAGCTATAGTTCTATCCTATAAATCTAATACTGAGTGATTATGAACACTTAATTAAACAAACAAACAAGCATGAATAAAGCTATGGCTTGGCTTTCATTCTCTGCTCCATTGTTGGATAACGGTATTATCCTGGTGTAATTTTGGCAGTACTATCGGGCTGTGAAGTGTAGGGAAATGGACAAGCAACAGTTTCATGATGTCTTTTTTACCCAGAAAATTTAGTACAAACTGGGTAGGGCAAATTGTATTTGCATAATTCCCTGTGTGGAATTATCTGACCAGGGAAGCTAATGGGGAAGCTGTGATCAGGGACTAATTTCTGCCACAGACCGAAGTGGTAGGGGCTTAGAAGAAACAAAGCCAGAGCATATGACCCGTTCTGCAGTAGGCTGCCAACAAAACAGGAAATGAAACCCACTGATTACTGAACCATGAAATAATAGAAAATATTTCAGACTGCAGATAATGTTTCACTTCTACTATGCATGGTCCCACAAGCATCACAGATTTTTAAGCAGATCTGTCTTAAAAATATATTCACCTTTTCCTATAGATACCATCAGGGAGAAATGCTGAACAGCATTTTCAAAAATTAAAGCAGAGCTTTACATAGGTTAAAGAAGTAGAATGCAAAGAATTAACTTTTAATTACTGTTTTCAGAAGAAAGGAAACATATCACTAAGTTCTCCTTTTGGCATCAAAGGTGGATAGCACATGCCAGGCAAAAAACCAACATATACAAAATGACCTGCATTTTTTGGATCTTTACGAGAACAACTATTTAATGTATTTGAACTGCATCCTTGCCTGAGAGTAGCTCCTTCACATGGAGCTCTCCTAGGGTTAACAGCAGAAAAACCATGAGCACTGCCAGGGGCAGATTACAGATATCATCAGAACAGGAACTCTATTTATTGAACTCCTACTGTCCATCATAACAGATATCCAGATGCTGTCTGCTTTGATGAGATATTGTATTAAAAATGCATTTTTTGAGAGGGGGATGGACTTCCACCTCAACTGGTTTGGGTAAAAGCACTTTTACCTGACTCCTGCTGTACCAAGTCTCATGGACTAATAATAAATACACCATGGATAAGAGAATCAAAAATGCAAGTGCACTTCTTGGTAAGTAACTATGGATAGATAGAACAGATTATAGGAATGGATACACAGTGAAGAGCTGCCTCTGAGAAAGAGCCACAAACAGGCTGAGAGCCTGTGGGTAAAAATCGAAGACTAGACCAACAAGGGACGCCTGGTATTTGGGGTCTACTCAAGCCATCTCCAGGAAGGTCTAGAAAAATGGATTGCACAAAGCAACTAATTTTATCACCAGGGTGGGGAAAACTTATCTATAAAAATATTCCCCCACAAAGGCCAGGCAGTACCCCCAGGATTCTGGACACCCCATCACCAATGCAAGAGCCAGGACTGGTGATTCCTCCCTCCCTCCCTCCCTCTGTCCCTCTCTTTCTTTCTCCCTTTCTCCCTCCCTGTGAAGAGGAAACAAAAAGCACAGCTCAATGATGTTATGTCTGTCCAAATCAAACAACTGCAACTATTCAAAGTATTCAGTAATGTTCATTACTAAAGTGCTCTAATGCTTTACATGACCACTTTTTAGGTATGTTCCCTTACAACATCACTTACCATCACATTTTTGAGTTTCCTTGTTCTGTTTGTGACCAACAGGACACTTGCACTCATAAGAACCTACTGAATTAATGCAGTGTCCTCCTTGGCAGACTCCAGGGATAGCCTGGCATTCATCAACATCTACAAAGACAAAAACCCAAATGATTACTTGGCATAAGATATATAAGTCACTTTCAGTAACTTCCTGCTGTATTTTATTAAGTGCTACATCCAGTTCAAATTACGTTGGGGTTTTTTTGTTCCCTACCCTCATTTGCTTATACTGTGTGGTGCTCCCAGTTGACATCTGGCAAGAATACAGCACTCTTTTTCAGGAGGATGTTCATTATCTCAAAGCCCTTACAAGGCACTAAAATTCCACCTGAGTTTGTGGATTATAGTCCTTCTTCAGTTTTTATTCCTCCTGGTGTTTGTGCTATAGATAAAACCTATGATATATGCCTTGTCCATTCACGCACTTTTTCGTTTAAGCAAGTATAATTTCCCACAGTCAAGGAAGAAGGTAAGGGTTTTTTGCAATTTTTTTTAATCACTGGACCTGGGTTTAAGTACATTTGCTGGAGTAGTTTGCACTTAGTTCCTGGATCTGTGCTGACTTACCACGCTATCGTGTCCAAATGCAACAGTTAGACTGTAAATTAATTAAGGACTTCACCAAAGGCATAAACTTTCTATATTTTTTTCTTCTAAATAACTAATGCTTGGTGCTACTTGTTTACTTGGAAAACAAACATTTCATCTCTAAAGTATTTTAAGGAATGGGGACTGGACTAGATGATCTCCAGAAGTTCCTTCCAATCCTAATTTTTCTGTGATTCTGTGGATCTTGACATGACTTAACAGCATCTAGGCAGAAGATGGGTCCATCATTTATAGATACACAGCCCACCCAGCAGCTCCCTTCTGAGTAAAAACATATGGTGTTTGTCTTTTGACCCTTGGGCCTCAAAATGCATTTATCACATAGAGGATACCTGTGCCTCGTGTCACTTATTAATGCTTATTTAATTAAGTTTACTGTGCCAGCAGATCACTGTCAAAAGAAAACCCACTGTGTGTCTGACACAGTTTTATAAGTCGAAGATGTCAAGAAATAGTAAATTAACAGCAGCAGCAGCAGGCAATGAATACTTTCCAGAAACAGAAAAAGTATCACTGGAGCCTTGAGGTGACCAAAATTTTAAGATCTATTGATTCCATTTATTTCTTTCAATTCTTTTAAAAAAAGACAAATGGATGCTGATCTTTCTAAAATCGAAAAGCCAATCCAAATTATGTATTGCTATGCAGTGCCTCTCCAGTGAAGAAAATAGAAATGGCATCAATATGAAAGGTGAAATTTTTGAATCACAAGCACTCCCTTGCTTTTTTCTGCTAATAGCAATCTTAATGTAATCTTGTATGTTAATTATTCTACATCATATTTAAATGTAAAGATAATAAGCATATTCAGCTTTAGTGTTAGCTTAAAAACATATATACACACTGCAAGTCTGATGCCTTTTTTGGTTTTTTTTTATTTGGCAGTATCACCTTTTGCTGAAAACACAAGTTTGTTACAATATATCACTGGTGTTTTGGAATGGAAAAAAGTCCAAAAGAACAAACGTATTTTATTAAAAGGGTATGTTTTATCAATTGCTTCCTAAATGCCATTTTAAGACATAAGAATTTTTTTTTCTGAAAATACAACCAATTTGAAATGAAGCATAGTCTTATTTAATTTTTTTGTAGCTTTGACAGTCAGGTTAAGTCACACAGGAGTTTTAGAATTATTAATTATCCATTTCCTCACACTTTGAAACCCCAACCACATTAACAGAATAAACTTCTTGTCATAAATAGAAAATTATAGTAATTTTCTCTTTAGATACAGTCCTGCATACGAAGGTTCAATATGCTACAGATTAGGTAGAATGTTTCCATGTGTTCACAATCTAATACCTGGTAAGTGAAAAAAAAAAATGGTTTTGTGCTTTTGCAGAGTTTTCTCTGCAAAATGCTTGTGGGATTTGCACAGCAGAGCTGAAAGTCAAATCCTCATCAGAGCATTTTCTCAGAGCCCCACAAGCTGTACCCTCATTTTTGAGTGTGAAATGGTGCAAAACAATTTGTCAAAATAAGTGACATGCTGCTCTCTTCTGATTAAATTTGATCTAGGAGTAGCTGCACTTGCAGTGAAAGAAGAGATGTGAGAAAAACACTAAATGGACTAAAAATGGGGCTTGGCAAGTGGATGGATGAACCCTCTACTGCGTGGCAAATACAGCATCCCACATCAAAGCAAGAGATATGGAGAGCCTGAATAAAAGCAACTTGAATTGCATCTGTGTATTTTAGGGTAATAGTGAAAAGAAGAGTGGCATATAATGCAAGTAGCAGATTTAAAGCATGCAGGGCACGCTTCTCCTGTAATTAAGCCATGAAACCTCTTGTTGCCCAGTTTTGTGTCACACTGATCTTTTCAAATGTTCGAAAACAATCCAAGCCCCAGAAAGACAAGTACCGTGGAGAGCTATCAAACACAACCAAATGTTCAGGAAGTGTCTGAGCTGCAAACTGCTGGATGTGCTGCAAAAGTATCACATGCATGCCTTTGTCTGATGCCCTCTCCTAGGTATCTCTCACAGGCAACTACCACTGACTAATTTCTGGCATCTTCAGTGCTCACCTTAGTGAAGGATTTCTCCTCTAAGTGCAAAATATGAATGGCAACTAGATACTAGGTGTTTCTCAGACCTACAAGCAGAAAAAGGTTCAAAAATAAGATATGATCATACAGAAATATGTACACGTTGAGCCATTTGTCTGATTAGTGTGACTATTTTGATCATAACTTCCTTACTGATTATTTCAACACCCAACTGACATGAAACGTGTTTCCAGCTGTAAATCAGCTGTAAATCAGCTGAAAATCTGACTGCTTTTCCAAACTATCACAAAAAAACCCAACCAACAAACCACTAACTGAAAACCAACTGACTGGCATCCTTTAAAACGCAATTTCTTCAAATGCATTGTAAAATACCCCTGGTATAAAACATTTTTAAATGCAGTCAGTTTATGAAGACCACATTTGTTTCTGTACTGAAATATTTTATTCGTATTCCTTTAAACACTCATGAATGATACTAAAATTTAAAATTATACAAATTGTGTCACATTTTAATACCTGTCAAATTCAGTGCATTTTTGTGCATAATGTATGAAACAGGATGATCTACTATTAATGTTTGTAGGCAAACCTCTTCATACCAAAAACAAAAAAAGGGAAGATTTTTGGCAAGTAATGTTGTGAGCCCAGAGATGGATTTTGATATGTAATAGAGAAGAAGAGCAGTTTAGTGGGAAAAGGTTTTGAATATTCATGTTAAATACATCATGAAGACTTGATAATTTTTATACAGCTGACAGCATTCATTTTAAGGTTGAATTTTTAATACTGTTCTACTGGTCCTACATGACCATTTCTGACCAGCTCCTGTGATACAACATTTTCCATCATACAGACTCCTGTGATTGATTAGGTAACTTAACAATACACACTTGACAACTAAAGAGGAAGTGAAGGACAGCTCTAAATGAAAGAAGAAGGAAAAAAGCATGTTTAATGCAGGAATCTGGGCTTAGTAGCTTTTAGCAAAATTCCAGTTTCCACCAGTACTGCTATCATGTCCATTTTAAGCACATTCTCGTTCTCCTCCGGCTGGAACAGCAGAAGCAGCTCTTTTCCAAAAGCAAGACTCCAAGGTTTGCACACACACATTTTAATATAATTGATATTACATCAGTTATAAGCAGATAAAATATTTTTATAGCATTGGTATAGCATTATCTGGAGACCATAAAGCTCTTTTTTCTGATATAAAAAGAAGATAATTTCTCTATGAGAGAATTTTACAACCCTTCTCTTTGAGAGAAATTATCCTTTATGTTACATGTTTATATATGCTTGGATGCTTATATACGTTCGTATGTTTGTATAGTTGTATGTTTATATTTTGTATGTTTATATATGTTTGCATGTTTATATATGACTATATATACATGTATGTAATGTGTATTTATGTTTCGCTTTACTGTACGCGGCACTCAGTGCCCTGGTCTGGCTGACAGAGTGGTGTCGGGTGACAGGCTGGGCTGGATGCCCTTAGAACTCTTTCCCACCCCAAACGACACCGATTCCCTGGAATACCACATTTTCTCAGGCTGTCACGTGAGGAGGGAGCAGCGGCCATTCCTGGGGCAGGTCCTGGCAGCTGCGTGCGAGCCGCACAAACAACTCTCTCTCCGCAGCAGGGAGGGATGGAAGGCAGAAGATGCTGATTTGGGAGCGGCGTCTGGCTCCGTTTTGGCTCGTCGTCCATCCCGGCTCAGTAAGGAGGGAAGAGCACAAAGATCTTGAGCTGATCTGAGGCAGGAGCGCTCACGCAGCTGCCAGGACCCACCTGGGGAGTCGCTCTGCGCACGCGTCCCGCTCCCTTCCCCTCCTCCTCCCCCTCTTCTTCCCTGTTTTCCCTCTTTCTCTGTTTTGCCTCCTGTTTTTCCTCCCCTTGCCCCCCCCCCCCCACCGCGGCCATGGGGAAGCTGAACGTGGTGATGCTGCGGTATCTGTCCCGGGAGCACTTCAGGGTGCTGACGGCGGTGAGCGGGGCCGGGCCGGGCCGGGAGGGACCCGCGTGTGGTGTCCGTGCCCTCCCCCACTCCCCGAGGCTCCTCGCTGGGGGTTCCTGACGGGCAGGGACGTGGTCGGGCCGAAATCTGCTTCGGCCGCCCGGATGGGAGGGAGCGGTGAGGGCAGGGGGGCGCTGGGGGGTGCTGAGGTGGTCCCTGGGAGTGCCCAGGGGGTCCCGGGTGGTCCCTGGGGATGCTCAGGGGGTCACTGGGGCTGCCCAGGGGGTCCCGGGTGGTCGTTGGGGGTGCCCAGCGGTCGCTGGGGATGCCCAGGGAATGCTTAGATGGTCACTCGGGATGCCCAAGGGGTCCCTAGTGGTCCCTGGGGATGCCCAGGGGTTCCTGGGTGGTCCCTGGGGATGCTCAGGGTGTCCCTGAGGATGCTCAAGGTGTCCCAGGGGATGCCGAGGGGATCACTGGGGATGCCTAAGGGGTCCCGGCTCATCCCTGGGGACACTCTGGGGTTGCTCGGGTGGTCAGTCAGGATGACACCCAGGATGTCCCTAGTGGTCACTGTGGATGCCCAAAGGGTAGCTGCGGATGCCCAGGGGATCCCAAATGGTTGCTGGGGATGCTCAGGGGATCCTTGAGAATGCTCAGCAGATTCCTGGGGATGCTCAAGGGGTCACTAGGGATGCCCAGGGGGTCTTGGTTGTTGCTCGGGATGCTTAGGGGATGCTCAAGGAGTCGCTGGGGATGTTCAAGGTGTCCCTGTGGATGCCCAGGGAATGCTCAGGTAGTCACTGGGGACGCCCAGATGATCATGGAGGATGCCCAAGGGGTCCTGGGTGTTTGCTGGGGATGCTCAGCAGGTCACTGGGGATGCTCAGGTAGTCCCAGGATTTCCTTGGGGATGCCCAGGGGGTCACACACCCCCAGCAAGGTTACATCATCAGCATCACCAGGTCTCCACTCATGGTGGCTGGGACTAAAATCTAATGAGCCACTCTCATCTTCTGGCTGTAACTGAAGAATTCCCCAGGCTGGATTGGCTGACACATTATTTTTGTTTATCTGTTTTTAGGTGGAAATGGGCATGAAGAACCATGAAATAGTTCCTGCCAGCTTGGTCGCTTCCATTGCCAACCTCAAACACGGCGGCTGCAATAAAATTCTGAGGGAGCTGGTGAAGCACAAACTTCTGGCTTATGAACAAACCAAAAGTGAGTTTGGGTTTTGTGTTGGGACTCCCTTTCTCAGTCTGTTCCAAGTGCCTCAGCTGTACATGCACAACAGGTTGGGCTGTGTGAGTAGTTGTGACGCCTTCTCTTGGACTTGCCTGGGGATTGTGGGTTTGTTCAGCACCAAGTGTTGTGTCTGCTGAGCTGTGTATACCTACAGAGATGACAGGCAGAAAAGAGATGGACAGCTCACTTTTTTGCTCAGAATAAAATAAAAAGAACCATTTAAGGCAATGTTCAAGTGCATGTAGGAATCAACCCAAGTGAGTTTCATCCTTACAGTTCTGGAACAGACTGCAGAATCCTTGGACATTTTGCCCTCCAGGAACAGCTACTGAAGCAGTTTTTATTCCTTGCCACATGGAAAGTTGTGCAGGCCTTTCCCCATTCCCCTCAGCCTTTTAGTTGCACCTGGCCCTGCAAATATACTGGGGGAGTCTACAGGAAATATCTGTTCCTTTTGTCTCAGTTCTTCAGAGGACTAAGGGTTTCTGTAGTTCATTGCAACAATCCCAGGTCCCTGCTGTGTCACCTATATGTGTATCTTCCCAAATGCTGGCTTTTCCCAGGCTGTTTAAGGTACTGCCATTGCCTCTTTTAGAGACAGGTAGCACTTCTGTCTCTTGCACAGCTGTCAATTTTCATAAGTTGTGGGAATTGAAACATCTTTACCTTTCCGTCAAATTGGACTGATAAGGAGCTAAGGGGCGAAATATTACTTGGGTGTAAGCTGAAGCAAGACTAAAATGAGGCTTATTTTAAATGTGATGTATACATAATAAGGAATGAAATGTCTTTTATTTCTACCCAGCTGTCCAGGGTTACCGGTTAACTAATGCAGGATATGATTACCTTGCTCTGAAAACTCTCTCTTCCAGACAAGTCATCACTTCTGTAGGAAACCAGATGGGTGTTGGCAAAGAATCAGGTAAATAAAATAACATTTTTAATAATTTTCTTAAAGCAGATACAGCTTTAATGTTGCAAATATTTTGCTAGAAATTAGGTGAGTTTTCCTCTGGATAGTTGCATCAGTTAATCTGTGAAACACCAAGGTCAGTCGTTCAAATAGTACGTGAGGCTTTTGGCTACATGCGAATATTTCTTAACAAGAATGCTTTTGTCCTTTGCCCATTTTGTTTGGTTCTTAGTTCATCACTTAAAAAGGCGCTTTGCAGGCAGATGCTGCTTGTCTCGTGCTTTGTGAAGAGTTTCAAACCATTTTAGCAAAAACAAAATTTCAGCTTTTTCATCCCACTTAAAAATAAGGCAGTAAAGTAAAATAGGCTCAAAACCATTGGAATACTATCTTGGTTCTTCCTATGTTCATGTAATTTGACACAGGATGTAACTTCTGTAATTGGAGAAGGGGATTATTGGGGGACAACTGCTCGAAATGAAACACAGGCTATTTTAACAGTGTTTAAATTAAGAGTCTGCCCCCTTGGGTTGGTTGTCCACTCAACAGAAAGGAGTGGCTCCTCCAGAGTGTGATTAAGAACAGCATCTGCCCTGGATTTCCTTCAAGAAGAGCCCTTTGCTGTGCAGATAGTCCAGGAATGTTAAACCTGAATGTAGGAATCTTAAGCTGAAAGGTTTTTCTCTGAAAAGGTGAACTCTGAAACATGTTCCACGTCACATCAGTATTTCTTCTAGTGGAGTAACATGAACTCTTCAACAGTAACTTCTTCATGTTCAGATCTCTGATACACACGCTGTAAATTCAGCTGCCTTTACTGTAGTAGAACATGCCATGCCAGAAATGGTGAGAAGTAACAAAGTTACTGTGGCTTGTTAGATATCATTTGTTCCTTAGATCCGTGCCCTTGTGTGTCTTCTAGACATTTATATTGTTGCAAACGAAGAGGAGCAACAGTTTGCACTGAAATTACACCGCCTTGGAAGAACCTCATTCCGCAGTTTGAAGAATAAACGTGACTACCACAAGCACAGACACAAAATGTCATGGCTGTATTTATCTAGGATAGCGGCAATGAAGGAGTTTGCCTACATGAAGGTAGGTGGCCACTCATAGTGTCAGCAGTTGTGTAACAGACTGGAAGGTGCCTTTTGATCAGCCTGTTTTCAGGACTGGTAGGATTTAGGCTTTATTTTTTTCTTTCCCCTGATGGACTTAAAGTAAACATTTCAAAGACTTTCAGTACTATATGTTCTGTACAATTTCCATAGGCTTTGCCATGGAAGTCACATGGAACAGAAGCACAGTGTCAGTGAATTTGAGTTTGACATTGTTATTTATGGATAGATAATCTGTGTTTCACCAGCTCTGCAGTTTTTCCTTTAAAAGTCATTGCATAAACTTGCAAAGAGCTGAAATTTCTTAAAATTCTTTTATCTTTTAATCTACTGTTTTTTTCAGCTGTTGCTGTGCTATTGAGGGAAGTCTTTTAGTCCAGACTAGTGTTTTGATCTGAAAAGGCACACTTTGTCCTTCACTGTGGGGAAAAATTTAATTTCCAAGAATATATTGCCACTCTCAGAGCTATGGATTTTTTGACCTGCTGAAAAAACCACAGATAGTGTACAGCAATTGAAATATAATAGTGGAAAACTAGTTTTCCTTTCTTTTTTTGTGCTGTTCAAGAGTGGTATACATATTAAATATGATTTTCTGTTTTCTCCAAAAAAATCCTGTGATAGGCTCTACCAGTGGCCTCCACAGAGGGAGAAAGAACTAATATCCTCATTAGGACCTCTTTTTTGGTTTAGGTGGTCCAACTGGTAAAGCATTGTGTGGTCAGAACTTGTGGGAATATAATTGTGGGGGTCACGTTTCTCTGAACAGAGGGTTGGGGGATGGATTAATTGTGTGCTGAAAAGCAGTAATAGTGTAACGCTTAAATAACAAAAGGTGTATTTATATTACTTTAACATGGGACTCTGTCTTAGAAAAAAATTCACTGGTAACAACAGAATGAGTAAAAAGAGAATGAACCCATAAAAAAGTTGAGTGGGTCAAGTGAATGGATAAATGTCCATTAGAAAAGACAAACAGGAGAACTTCAAAATATTATGACTGACCTTTGGTTAATCTTCAATGTGGTGTAATGCTCATTATTAATACTTAAAAATGAACTTAGATGTCAATGTGTGATGTTTCGTTAGCTATTTAATTTTAATTTTTTATCGTGTTGCCTCTCTCCAGGCTTTGCATGACAGAAATTTTCCTGTTCCAAGGCCCATAGACTACAACAGGCATGCAGTTGTTATGGAACTTGTTGACGGCTATCCTTTGTAAGTAGTGGGGGTTTAATTTGCTGTGTTACAGAGACCCTAACAATGCTGAGTTAAGAAAGGTAACAGGTTTAGGGTTTTTCCTTGTCTTGTGAATGAATTCTGACTTCACCATGCTGAATAATGCCCTCCAGCCCATGCTCACTAGTATTCTATTTGATAGGGTTTTGCTTCTCTTATATTTTTATTCAGAGAGATGGTTTTTTCCTTAGTCCAAGTAAGGAATTTATTCCTTAATTACTTAACTTCTGATGAGA